CTTTAACGTGCGCAACTTGCACACGGGCCCTCCGAGATTTTTCGCCCTTGTCCGAGAAGGCTAGGTGTAGATCTTTCCTACCAGAAGATCAGGGGTGTGGCAGAAAGACAGCAGTAAAGAGGAGCCATGGAGTAGCAGTAGAAAGGCTGCAGAAAGAGTCAGGAGCCCAGAGGAGGGGGCAAAGGAGGTGAGGGAGTGGGGGCAGAAAGCGGAAATGAAAGCAGACAACAGAACATTGCTAGAGAGCAGGAATGGAGGTGAAAGGAGACAATTTTAGAGAAGAAAATTTTTTGGTCGCTACCCGGATTCGAACCCGGGACTTTTTGAATGAGAGGCCAACACCTTAACCTCTAGGCAACGAGAGCCCCCTTGGTATGGGTTTAACGCCCCTATCAACACTATTAGGTTATTTAAGAAGCGGGATATAAGTTTTCTTTTGATGTGCTTATTTTTCTCTCAAATTTCTCGCAGTTGTTGTTCAGTTTGGTTGTGCGGTTTTGGAAGCTATGTTAGTCTGGATGAATAAAGCCCCGGTTACAAGAAACGAGTAATTGTATCAGATTCATCGTATGCGAGAACTGTATGTTTTATCGAATAATTGTGGAGTCTGTTTAGACGTTCCAGTCTACCGTCCAGTTTTTCTTTAGATCGAGGAGATTCCTTGTCATAAAGTCGCCATGTCTCATTGAGACGACAGCGATTTGCTCGCACTCTATTTGGTGCTGCTGCTAGGCGAAATAAAGAGGAAAAGATTTATTTGCACTATAGACTTCGCAAAATATTTTCACCAACACAAATCGGGAGAGGAAAGGGGAAAGGGGGAGGGGGGGATCTCGTGGTCTAAAGGTACGGTGTTCGCCTCTCATTCAATTGGTCTCGAGTTTGAAACTTGACAGCGACGGAAAACATTTCTTCTAACAAAAATTCTCCTTTCACAACCGTTCCTGTTCTCTAGACATGGTCTCTGTCATCTGCTTTCGTCTCTACTTTCGTTCCTCCCCTACCCCGTGTACCCCCACCTGTATAATAATATTTGAGGCAGCGTGGTGAAATCAGGCGCTCGTTAAAATATCAAAATCGGAGAAACAGACATTTTTCCGGCAGTATGGACATTTTTATCAAATTTTTTGTTCTTAATCTCTTTTAGGTCCATACAAAAACACATTTGCATGTGAATTTTACTGAAAAACATTGATTAAAGCCACAAAAAAGTCATTTTTCAGTTTTCAAAGACTCTTTAGTTCTTGAAGTTACAAAACTTTGGCGGCCATTTTCTCGTTAATATTAACACTGAAACCAGGGGACCTCACTTCTTCCAATCTCAAATATCTCGAGTTCTATTCAAGATATACGGATATTTTAATTCATTTCTTTGGGAGGAAGGCAAATAAATCAGCTTTCAGGTGATACCAATAACTTCACAAGTTGAAAAAATTGACGAGCGCCTAATCCCACCGCGTCGTAACACATTATTACCAAAAAGTGTCTAATAGAATACTTCTTGGAACTTGCATTGCAACATTGGACCATCGAGCACAAAAAGGAATCCATCATCGACTTCATACGTCAGGTGAAGGCTTTTGACCGAGTAAACCATGCCAAGCTCTAGAAGACACTTGAAAAGTATGGGTTCAGAGGACAGCTGCTAGACTATGTCTTAGCTCTATATATGGGTCAGACACTTGTCAATTTTTGGCCATGTAAAGTTATTGATGTCACCTGAAAGCTTATTTATTTTCCTTGTTTTCAATTTTAGAAACATCCCTTTATCTTGAATAGAAGTCGAAATATTTGCGATTGAAGGAGGTGGGGTTTCCTGGTTTCAGAGGTAAAATTAGTGAGAAAATGGCCTCCAAAGTTTGGTAACTTAAACAGCTTGAGTCTCATTAAAAACTTTTAAAATTACATATTTTGTGCCATCAATCAACATTTTTCAGTAAAATCCACCCAGAAATGTGTTTTTAAATGGACATAGAAGGTGTTGAGCGAACCTCCCCCCCCCCAAAAAAAAAAAACTAACTAAAAATAGAAAAAAATGTCAAACTGGAGGGGAAATGCCGATATCTTCCATTTCACTATTTTGGCGAGCGCCTGATTTCATCACAATGCCTCACATATACCAACAGCTGAAGCTGTGTAGCAACAAAGGAAAACAACGCAGACTCTTTCAAAGTAAGATCTGGAGTACGACAAGGATGAGTTGTATCTCCGCTCCTATGTTCCATATGTTTTGTAATAATGTTAGTGTATTTATTATTTTAATAACATTATTTTACTACAGCTATTGCTATTGCTAGTGTGATTGTTCTTGATTGTGTTATTATGATTATTTTTGGGGTAATTCTTCTTCTTCTTCTTCTTCATCATCATCTTCTTCTTCTTCTTCTTCTTCTTCTTCTTCTTCTTCTTCTTCTTCTTCTTCTCCTTCTTCTTCTTCTCTCTTTCTTTCTTTCTTTCCTTCTTTCTTTCCTTCTTTCTTTCTTTAGATTATCATTAAGACTGTTCAAAAAGGTGTTATCGGTAAAAATGCCATCTTTGCCAGAGGTAACGTAATTGGTGAAAGTATAGGGGAGTAGGGGAGGGGGGAGAGAAGTAGAAAAGGATAGAATCAGTCGTTCGTCAATTTGTGGGCATTAGACGTCATGTGTCTCATCTTATAGCTTCTTTATTTGTCTTACTCTTAATGCAAAAACCACCCATCTATCTTGAATCGAAGTCGAGGTACATTGACTTCGCGATGAAAGGAGATGGGGGTCAACTACTGTCAGAGGTCAAATAAGCAAGAAAATGGCCGCCAATGTTTGGTGTCTTCCAAAGCTTGAGTCTCCTTGACAACTGCAAATTTGCTTTTTTTTACCTTTCATCAATTTTTTATTTTTTAAAAAGTAAATCCATAAATAGATTATATGTCTTTAAATGGACATAAACATCTATTCAGAAAAAAGACGATACAAATGCATTACTTTAGAATAATTAAATTCTATCTGCTCAGTAACTATTTTTCTTTGGAGAAATGTAACGTAAAAATAATGAGTTTTCATAACAAGTCAATCTGTCTCGAATGAAATTCTTTGAATATCATGTTAAGGACTTCGAATAATCTTACAATTTTGATAAAGTGTAAAGAACAAAGAACATTTATTGGTTTCTGAAATCATCGTTTCAGTAACTCAAAACGTCTAAAAATATCAGATAGAATTTTGTAATTCTAATGTAGCGAATTGGCCAATGGGTGGAAAAAGTTATACTCATTTTCTAACCAAATCAATGTCCAAACAACAATGATATTTCTTTCCATAACGAAATTTTATTTTTTATTATTAACAGCCAGATCCATGCAAGTGTTTCACAATACAAATGAGTGAAAGCCCTCAGCAAAAGTTTTACATCTGTATTGCAATTGATTCATACATCAAAGGAAAGGGGGAGGGGGATTATTAGCGGGTGCTAAAACCACGAAGATGAATACTCTAGTTTTTATACGTCAAAATCAACCTACAACGGGTGTAACGGTGGCATTAACTGGCTGAGCCACGTACGCCTTACACACGGAGTTTGCGCTGAGCGTAGCGTCGTTCACACAAGCGCCCAACAACTGTAGACAGTCGCAGTTGGAGATGAGCAGAGAGTTGTCGCTCTTGCACGTGTCCACGAGAGTCTGCAGATTGCCCCCAACAAAAGCGCCCAATGGCATCTTCAGGTCGGTGTTGGTCTGGTAAAAAGCGTAAGTGACGGGGCATGCGGTGTTGTTGCTTGGTTGCAGAGCGGCCCAACGGTTATCGGCGAATGCCTTGGACAAGCGGAGTCCCACCAGCCAGCGTTGTTCCCACTCGGCAAGAGTCACGCAGCCGTCGTTGTTGGTGTCGTAGTTGTTTTTGAAGTCGTTGTAGATCTCCGGGCCAGTGACAAAACCGTCGTTATCGGCGTCGTTGATGCCATCGTTGACGGCGAATCTTTGCCCCAGAGTGCCCTTCCCGCTGCACACGGAGGGAGAAGTTTGCCCGCCAGTGGGGTTACTTTGACCTCCGAATGTACTTTGACCTAGACCCCCGAAGATATCAGGGAATCCGGGACTGGGGCCGCCAAACATATTGAAGCCACCCCAGGCGCTGCAGCCAGTGAAGGCAAGAGAGAGCAGGAGCAGGGACACAGGGGACATCTGGAGAGAGAGAAAGAACAAGAAATGAAAAGAAAATTAGTTATACAAATCATCGATTGCTGACACTTGCAAACAGGAATTAATAAGAAACACAGAAAGACATGACAACCAAGTGAGGTAAGAGATAGCGAGGGTAGGAACGTAAGAAACATCAGGAGGAAGACAGAGAAAAAAACAACAGAAAGAGACATCTGTTATAAATATGTAAATAATATTACGATTTTGGACAAGAAACAAATAAAGACACTGTAGCCAGGGGAGGGGTAATCGAGAGGAGGAAAAGGAAGATGTCAAACATGAGGAAAAAGAAGAAAAACAAAACAAAACAACCCCCCC